AAGTTCTCCCTTCACCTCTTGTTCGCTCAGGTTGGATTTTGGAGCCATCAGGATGAGGCGCGGCTCGTCCTCCTCATCATCAGACTCGCTCAATTTGCCAGATGACAGCGACACTGCTTCAGGTGACGATTCTGATGACTTGGACTCACTGCTGCCGTTGTTACAAGACTTCGAATAGTCTTTGCAGTGGTGATGGCAATAACGGCAATTATCTTCCTCTGAGTCATCACTCTCTGGCTTTCTCTTCCGACCGCGGCGTCCAGAAGCACCCTTAAGAAGAGAGGGATCAATGACTATAGCCTCACGGTGCCGCGCTGTGCCATCCATCACCACGACCTGACCCTGCATAGATGCTCCAGTGAGTTTGCGCCATTCCTTCATGTTAGGTGGCTCGCAGTTGAGGTTGTTCACCTTCAGCTCACGTTTGAATGCACTGTATGCGGCCCACCCCGCAGGTGTAAGGCTGGCAAAGACGCTAGATGGTGGTGGCGGTGGTGCGGGACCGTTCTGAACACCGCAATGAGGCATGGTGATTTTGTGAGAGGGACGGTGATTGAGATGTACTAGTTGCTGGGAAGAGGAGAAGGAGCCAAGCCAGTGTAGAAGAGAAAACCAATGTTTATATTATATTTTGGCATATTTGTGACATAAATTGAAGTTCTCTATCTGGGCACCTCTATATGATCACAGCCGCGAATAGAAGGCCGATAAGGACTACTGTTATCTGCTCACAAACAATATAACAAGCTAAGTGTTACATGTGTTCAAATCTGGCTAGCCGGGCTGTAAGTAATCTGATTACCTCTGCCAAAGCAATGTAATGAAGCCTTTGTTATTTCCTTTCACTTCTGTATTCCTGATCTATTTAAGGTCACTATTGCTCTGCTATTCACATGGTTAGATAGGTCTGAGCGGGCACCCTAGCACCAAGCTTCATAGCTGCCCTCAACACTGCCCATATGCTCACGCACAGGTTACAATAATATAGTCGGAGATATCTGTACATGGGCATCCTTCTTCTTCATAGGCCTTCTAATAGTACCCCGTGCTTAGATCCTCATACCTCCCCTGAACAAACCTGTTGGTGCCCTCTATAGCTGGGTCTGACACACAGTGAATGTGATTGTAACTAGATAAAAACATGCAAGAAAGTACAGGCAAACACATACATCGTATAGGCAGGAACAGGAAAACAAAGATCCAAGATACTCACTGCAAAGGCGGCATGAGTCCACCGTTGGTAGTGTTCAAGGTTTAATGAAAGACCAGACACCATTCTGCCAAGATTCAATGCCAGGAGCAGCAAAAATCAAGCATGCCAGTACAAGCTGAGTCTTGGATGAACAGCCACTGCTAGAAGGTATGACATTGCTTGTAGAGGGCATGACTTCTCAGCTACTAAGCTTATGGAGGGCTGGAGAGAGACAACAAGTGACAGAGAAAGTAAGAGTTAAGCCCTAATCTCTATCAGGAAGGGCATGTCGAATGGAGTATGCATGAAGCTCCGAGTCATGAATGCAGTAAGTGCTGGCTGCTGTGCCCTCACCAATACTGTCAGTATAAGATTACAGGCCCTGAGCATGTACTTCTGGGCAAGAAAGTAAGAGAATGCCGGCTATCATGCGATTAATCCAGAAGCTGACTGCAGTATCAACATAGAGTTCAATTTAGTCCACAAATGCAGTCAGTAACATCCTGCTAGTGTAGAGTGCAATCAATGAGGGCTATTTCCGGGGTGACAGGGAGATGGTAGGTGTTAATGACACACATCTGGGATAGATTCTGATGTCTTCTCATCTGTACTTGGCCAGAGATTATGTCACATGCAACCAAAAGACAATGTACCAGGATGCTTGCTCACACAATCAGCTTGCCTCTCCATCTTTTGGATTCATATTGATCTGCTGTGGAAAGCGAACTCTTTGTGTATGAGCAACCTCTTCCAGTGCTCGAAAAGTGCAAGCCTGAGCACCTGCAAGAGACTAATAAGTATCTCCGGGTAGTATTTAACGAACAGTGCACAGACTAGCTGTCAGCAGAAAACAGACCATTGCAAATGCTAGATTCCCTGCGAAGAGGTCCCGCACAGGCCTCCAAATCGCTCGTACTTAGTCGCGGTGGTATAAACGAAGGGGGGCGCGTCTTGGTCTTATGAGCGCCTAAATTATGTAAGCACCGCTTTGGGATAGTCTCCTCAACCGCTTCACGCTCGGACGTCCACCCTCCTCCGTAATCCTCCTCTGCAGCTCACCATGCCGCCTATGGCATTCACTGGAATTGTGACCAAAGCCGGTGTCATGAGAAAGACGGCCACGGTCACTGTCTCACGGCTGGTCGCCCACCCACGTACAGGAAAGGTGCGCTTTCGCTGACACCGGAAGTTCGCGAACTATGGCTCATTCTTTCCGGACTTAGATGCTTGAGCGCAGCAAGAAGTTTTTGACACACGACGAGCACAATGGTATGTCCCGAATCCTGTCAGATTAGCGACCACTAATCTGCCAGGTGCTGTACTTAGAAATGCGGCTGAATGACCAGGTCGTGATTCGTAACTGTCCACCAATATCTGCCCGCAAACGGTTCAAGCTGGAGACCGTCCTAAAAAGCCCTGAACGTGAGCGCGAGGAGCATCACCGGAGGCAAGCAGAGGAGGCTGCAGCGGCCGTGAAGACGCAACTACAAGCCGCGGTTGCGTGAGATCGGCGTCTGGAAACGGTCCGTCGCGAAAGCCCTAAGGGTTATCCTTCTGCTCATTAGCGCATACCTAGATGACAACTCTATCGGGACACCGCAACGGATACGCTCGAAACTCCGAGCTTGAGCGTGCTTCCCTGGGCAGGCCGCGCGGTTGAGCTTCAGTCTAGTCAGACCCTGAACACGATTCCATGTTAACGCGCTTACACCTTGTCTCTACTTGGCAGAATCAAAATACCACTCGAAGTTACACTCTCCCTAGACTGAGTACATCGCATGGCATTCCATTTATCCAGGCATGTACATCATTAATCCGTTGATATCGCGAACCTACCATAGCATCCGGCTTCTGATACCCTACTTCTCTGTAAACGGACCCCCGGACAATTTGAGCTGATCGACCCGCAGTTTCACGGAGTTCTAAGATGCGCCCAGATAACTACCGAGAAACGTGCACATACGCCATCGGCGAGATATTCGTATCAAGTTATGATCTCGGGAGCACCTTGTCAGCGGGGAGAGGTTCGGTGATATCAGCGATCAGGGGTAGCCCCATTCTCCGTAATCGCTCTTTCTGGTGCTCTCTGTGGCGGAAAGCTCAGCATACAAAGTGGTGCAGTGGAAGCGATAGTCTCCTTTGCGATGGGTCCTACTTACGACTCCGATAGTTCTCTTCAGTGAGGAGCCCGCTGGGTTGTATGTACATGTTAGGCTTTCGGCTACTAACAAGAAACCGTTCCAGCACCTGGACTCCGCAGGAGCCGGGATGTACATCATGTGTTTGGCGTGGCTCCGCTCATACACGTTCTTTCGGGCATATCCTCCTATGTGCCCAAGTGATATCCACAAAGTCAGCAGCCCTGCCAAAGACAGATTGCAATCGGCTCGCTTCACAAGGGAAGACTTTCTGAGCCCCATGCCGTTACTTTACTTTCTCAAGGCCAGCTGATCCGCGCTGACGCTGTACATGTAGGTTAATGTGGGGCAGGCGTGTGATGTTGACTCCGCAGTCGCAACGGTACCCAGTTGTATGTGCTCTCCTTGGTTTGTGCCACAACGTCTCTCGCTTGCGAGGTGCGCCCAACAGCTGTAAACGTATCATATTCTTCGTTTACTCTGGGCTTAACCTCGCGCCTCGCCGTTTGCGCTAACACGAGGACCCAGCGCAGCGCTCGGCATGTATGTCACTCATCTCTTTGTTCTAGAGATCATAGGAGTTGTGGTCCGCTGATCTTTGGTACTCGCTCTAGGAGCTTCCATCTGCGCCAACATCGCGCTTGGACAACACCGCCGGGCAGCAGAACCCACAGCAGCCCCGATATATCCTGATTACCGCTGACACATTGAGGCATACGTGCAGGTTCGTCGTATGGAAGAGGGCTAGTGGATCCTCGGTGCCTATTCATACGGCTCCATGAGCCATCGGCGTGCGTGGGACTATTTGTCATGTTTACAAACTCTGAAGGGGGTGTCATAGCTTCGCTGCACCTGTGCTCGGCCGATACGACTTCTTTGCCGGTAATGTGACCATGGCATAGCGTTGTCTCGGCTGCGCCGCGAAGAGATCACAGGACCGCAGAAATGGGGTATGTCGTACAGATGACACAGGGTAACCCGCGCTGAGCGCTGAGCGCCGACTCATAGCTATGTGGATCAAATACCGATAACGACTTGAAGTGGGCATAAGGTGCAGGTGCATGCGATCCAGATCGAGTGCAGATAGATGTCTAGGCAAGGGCTGGTGACAATGTAAGGTTTAATTACCGCTGGACGCGCCACTCGGTGCTACGAGGTCCGCTGAGTAACTCGTCTATTCGCCATACTAGTTGCTTATCCCAGAAGCAGCTAATGCGGGATACGGTAGGCGGAGCGCCGGGCAGACGAACACCGGTGAGTGGCGCGATGCCATCTCGTAACCTTAAGAGATGCAGGTAGCTAAGGTTATAAGTTCAACCAGGCGCGGAGTTTGAGCAAGTGCGGCCTTTGTTGCTCTGCGCAATAGTAGACGCACATCGCGATACGGACGGCAGCAGTGCTCGCGGCTAGATGTGCGACATGTAAACGGATGAGTGGGAGTTTCGGTGACTTAGACAAAGAGCTGTATGCGGGCCATGTCACTCCCCGTGCAATCATTCTGGGCCAATCAGCAAATAATCCGTCGCATGTCCCGCAAACGTCGAAGACCGTGTTGCTCTTGTAGAGCACTGAGAGCAAGCGACATGCTGTAACATCTTTTAAGAACCTGGAGCGAGATTATTGTGTCATAGATATTTATGAATGGGTGCTCAATGATTTTTGTACACTGAATGCGCTTCAGCTTCAGTTAATGTGTTATATCAGCGTCGAACACAACCTCACTATCATCATCTGTGGCCTTGAGACTCGTCGAGGACGTACAGGGACTAAGCTACGTACCAAATCGATGGGGAAGTACTACGGTAAACCATTTTGTCTTGCTTATGAAGCTCTTTCAGGTATGCATTTGTGTATTAAACTTACTCTCTGCATTTTGTACTAGTTGGGTGACCAGAGCCTAGACATGTCTTGTCACAACCGAGATATCATTACATATTGCTTTCAGCTTCTTGGATAGACCGTTCATTTGGTGCAGTTTTGCTCTTACAGAGCAGTACAGTGCTAGCTTGAGCCGGGGTATCCCGCATGTCCACACATGGAAAGTAAGTACGTTCACGCGCCTTACACTTATACCTTCCTGATCAAAGGCTCACGCGAACTCGGGCTTGCGAGTTATTTTGGTACGTGTACTAGGGCCGTCCGTGGACCACTCTTTTTTGCCGGGAGAGCCATGTGTGGGAAACGTTGCTGCGAATAATCAGGGTCCGCCAGCTTCTCCTTCGGGAAGTCGCCGCTTCGCGGCATGCGGCCGCTCACACACGCTGCACCGTTGACTGACATCTCGCATGGGTCTACATCGTATGCTTATCCATTACGCAATGAGAGGCCGTGCCAAGCACAGCGCTCTGTCTTTCAACCCAATGGGAAGGAACAGTTCGGGAACCGGTGGTTGCATTTCCCTATGGCCAAGGGTCGTAGAGACAGTTGCAATCAAGGACAAAGGAAATCTGCATTATGCTGCGTGGACATATGCAGACCCGACATGGCGGCACCGCGTTCTGAGAGTAGATATAATTAGGACTTATGAAACCCGGCTGGCAATCGAGCGCATGTGCGCGGCCAGCTCCGCTGGCAGTCGACCGGCTCCGAACAAGGACTTTAGTACCCTATGCGTCAACTTCACGCCCCAAGCCGTTCGAAGCAGTCGTAAATATGACGAATATGGCCGTCGCAAGAGCTTGTTAGGCCTTGTAGTCGGTTGCTATCGCGATGAGCAGCCCAATGAGAATACGTCTCAAGCCAAGGAATCCAATGGCAGATCGACATGGCGCTACGAAGGATTAGCTTCCAGTCAGCGCAGACCAGCAAGCGGAGCGGAGCTGCCTAATGGAAACCGCGAGCCCTATCTTTGTGCTCCCGTTGCCGCTCTTGATCCATCCTTCTGTAGGACCACGATGCGCAGCCGTCCCTGCACAAGAATGAAGCACAAGCCTCGCAAATGAACGAGGTCGTCGCGAGGCACATGGCAGCTGATGAAGAACCTTACTCGTCAGGGTCTGCTCAGGGTCCTTCGGGTAAACGCCACGACTAGGGAACACAGGCACCCACAAGCACGAAGCGCTCACGCGCCCTGCCCGACGGATCGCACGGCGGACAGCGGGGACTGCGCATTGCCGGGGGCGTCGACTAAATATCGCGCATGCTCGCTGTGAAAATTGGGTGACTTAATTCGCACATATACTCCAGGTGTAGATGAACCATCGGCGATTTGCGTTCATGCTGAATGATTACGAGTGGTACATGCTTTGGTAGGCTGGCGCTTTCTACGGTGGTCAGTGGCACGGATATGGTTGGGGCGCGAGCGCAGCGTGTACACCCGCTCGCTGCCGCGGCGCATGGCTGCGTTGGGGTCACGTCGTTGAGGCGAGGTACGAGCTACGAGGAATGTGGGTTGGCTTGATGAGAATGAAAAGGTCAACAAATGGCTCATTGCCGCGAGCAACGATTTCAACGTACAGAGTAATGAGGGTTCGGTGAATGCAGATGTGCGGCTCAAAAGTGGATTGTTACTGTTCTACAGTCGTCGAAGAGTAGTCTATAGACGCCTTCCGGTGAAAAAGGGACGTTTGGGCAACGTCGATTGAGCCACGATTGTTGGTTCACCTTCAGACTCGTGAAGCACTACTAGGCCCGACGCAACACGTCAATCATACAACCAGAGTTTACACCGTACCGGGATTCGCGTTATAAAAATGCCAAGGACACATTGCTTGACAGACCTTACAAACTCAAATCGCACCGGTCCTGTGATGTGTTTGATGATTTTCATTTCCACAAGGGTGGCACAGTACTACTAAGAAACCAGGTACATATCTAAGAGAGATAAGTGGTCAGCATGCAGCAAGCAAAATGAGTTGCACAGGGTGTCAGACGAATATATAATGATTCCGGATAGACGTTGACCTCATAGAACCGTGGGTCTCAGTAGAGGGAGTCTATTTTGTCATCCCAGTGGGACAACCCAGACATAGAGGGAGACAAGACTCACGATCACCGGTTCTTGAAGTAGTCGAGGAGGACGTGCAGGCCCTCAGACTCGGAACCGTAGTCCTTGACGACGACGCAAGAGCAGCCAACGACCTTACGGGGGTTGCCCTCGCGGTCGATCTTGCAAAGGCCGGCCCAGGTACCGAGGACCTTGGCGTCACCGACCTTGATGAGGTTGATCTTGTGCTCAGCACAGAGGGCTTCGATGAGCTTGATGTACTCGGCTTCTGTACAGGTCTCGACGAGAACGCAGAGGTGAGCCTGACGCTTGTCGAGAGCCTTAGCGCACTCGCGGAGACCGCGGGCGAGACCGTCGTGGACGAGGGCGTTCTTCAGGACTTGCTACATGTTCTCCGTTCCTTAGCATCCGAGATTATCTCACGCAAACCCGTTCACGCACCTGAAGAGCATCCTCAACGGACAGCTTGCCCTTGGGGGCCTCAGTGGAAACCTCGACCTCTGCCGCGGGGGCCTCGACCTGAATTTCATCTCCAGCGTCAGACATCCTGCGGGAGGAATGTATTGTTGAGCTCCTCCGTGCTGCGCGAGTTCATTGTGTGACACAACGACGTACGTTTGTTGAATTTATAACGGCGATGTCGTCTTCCGCTCTCGTTGATGTGAAGAGAAAAATAAGGTTCGCCAAAATCGCAAGGTTATCTGGGATTTCAAACCCCGCTGGCCATCACCGAGAGCCAGCGCGCCTCGGGAAAGACGTTTGCCCGACGCTTGACATCGTTGAACACGGCGCGTGTGACGACTTGCTCGACATCTCCGACGGTGGACATCTGTCGACGAGAACAGTAACATAAGCTTGCATCTATGGTACGACTTTTAGTTGCATATATGCGTAGCCGTTACCGACACTTTCTGTGTAGAGTCTCGCATTCTTGCACGCGCATGACGGTGCTGAAGGTTCGTGTTCGATGCCGGCTTTCCCGTCAAAGGCATACTTACAGGCTTGCAGCACACAAGGACTCAGTATGGGGCATAAAATGGACCGCAAAAGACGAGGTTGTATCCATCTCCGCCGACGGCACCATCAGGAAATGGAACTCGACCTCGGGTCAGGTTTCCCTTAGCCAACCTGCCCACCCCCTGGCTATTGTCTCCGTGGACGTCAACGTCGGGGGAGATTACGCATTGTACAACACTCTAGAAGGCCTAACATGCCTATGGAACTTGGACAACGGGGAGCTAGTGGGGAAACACGAGAGCTATGTCCGCGATCCGAAGGAGGCGACCGAGCCAGGTGAGTGGTAGCTACTCACAATGGCCTGCACGCTATATGCGCGCTGTGTACGAAGACGAGGACGCTGACGCGTCTGCTCCGCATGTAGCCTGGTCTGTTTCCATAAACCCCACAGGAGAAACCTACGCCGCTACAGGCGGCACGGGCAATGTCACAATACACTCTGCCGACCCTCAATCTTTCGGCGAACGTCGTGCCGTGCTTCCCAGCGGTCGCAATAAATTTGGTATGTTCTGCAAACATGTGGGTTATCGTCATCTATCCCGTAAGAGTCGCCACCATCTTTTACTTTGTTCCGGTTCAGTTCATGCCCGCAACATGCCCCATTTCCTTACCTACGATCGCTTAGACGGGTTGCTAACGATTATATGAATCAACTAGAGCCCTGATGGGAGCAGAGTAGCGATGTCTTCGGAAGCCGGTCAGATCTACGTTTTCGACCTCGCTTCCGAAAGGTTGCTTGCCACATACGTCTCCCACGCAATGGCGGTACGCTCGCTCGCCTGGTCATCAGATTCCCAGGTACTTTGCGTCCGCTAGTTCCTAGGACGCCCTCTGACTAAATTGCATCTCCGCCAGCTACTAGTGTCGGCGTCTGAAGACAAACGCCTCACACTGCACGACGTGCGCTATACGCCATCTGGAAAGCCAGGCTCCGGCGCCGTTGCCACGTTGACCGGACATTCATCTTGGGTGCTCAGCACTGAACTCTCTCCGGACGGCAGGCTTGCGCTCTCGGGGTAAGTAGGAGCGCCGCCGCCCGTGTCCTATCACTCACCCGCCGCGCGTCCCAGGTCCGCCGACAAGACCATCAAAGTATGGGACCTCGGCGCCCGTGCTGCGGTCTCTACCATACAAGACACCGGTGAGGTGTGGGGCGTCTCGTGGAGGCTCAAGCCGCCCCAGCATGGTTCACCCGGAGAGTTTGTTAGCGGTGGAGAAGACGGCATCGTGAGGTGGTGGAGGGGCGCCGGCACTGGTTAGAAAATAGAATTACCCTGTTGTCCACTTGTAAGGTACGGATGCGTCTCGTCGAACGGAGTTGATTTCTTGCTCTGAGAAAGATGTTCTCGCCGCCTCTGCCCGTCTGCAGCCGCGACCTGAGTGGTCGGACCATGAGACTCGCGCCCTCGGGGCTCCCCATGTGTTGAAGACGAGAATACAGCTTATCTGACACCTAAGCAGGCAAACCCGACGTTTTGCGGCCGCCGCAGCACGTTGGTCGCGTCCTTCTCTGTCACCATTTGCCGCCCACACGGTAAGAATGAATGGCCAGCGATGTCTTGCACCATCCATGGAGGGCAATTTGCCTAGGGTGCTCTAAATCAAGGCCGCTCCGCGCATTTACTTGCGGATATTGGTAGGTGGCTCATGTCTCATGCATCTGTACCCGTCTCACTGAACGAACCACACAACAGAGCATCGATATCGCGTCAGCGTGGGCGATCTACAACCGTTCGCCTGATCTGCGACTCTCCGCGGGGGCGAGCTAACGGCCCTTCGATTACGGGGTAATGTCTCATTGTCGTTTACGTCCCATTCACCTCCGGGCCACTCATGTTGGATCGACGACCGGGGCGCGGTGGTAAAATGTCTCTCTTCAATGCTCGCCATCGCGCCTGGCAGCAGCCATGGAAGACCACACCACAGACACACCTGACTGGGTCGTGGACGCGCTGCGGCGCGCGTTCTTTGGCACGCACGTCCCTCGCACCCGCCGGTGCACCGTGGTCGGCGTCAGGTCTTGAGCAGGGCCTATCGACGGTGCGCGCTAGTGGTCGATCTCCCTGTGACATCCCACCGAGCTCGTCCCTTTCATTCGACGCATATTTCCGGCTCATTAAGTCACAGGATATGCATATGGTGGGGCTGTGCCACACTTCGTGCGGCGCATAGATATTCATTTAAGGCGAGTTTACGACCCTGATTGTGTGTTCTGCCGCGTTCTCATTGGCTGGCGCGTAGAACGCCGGTTTAACCTTCCAACTCCCCCCTACACTTCCCCGCTTGGCCTACCATTCTCGCAAATAAGTATTACCTGTCGAGCATAGGCATAGGAGCACCGCTGGAGATGTGCCTCGCCGCCGACAACTCATGTTGCCGAGATAGGTACACGTCCACCGGTTCTAACGAGCCCTGGCAATAACGTCCAGAAAGGGTCCCCACACATTTCATTTCACAAGTAAGTTTCCGAGGCCCATTTGCCCGCCGTCCTCTGGTCCTGCTTCGAGCACCGCTGCGCGCCGAGGGAGAGCAAACACCGCCGGCGCTGACGCTGATTGTACGCTTTTCGAGGACGACAAACTGGGGACCGCCGGTGTCAGTAGTCGGTGTCTTGGATTGGATTGCTTACTTTGGCAGCCAATGGAATGTGTGTAATGAAGCTTTGCTCGTCCATGGCCATCAACTCATCGTGACATCGTGATGTCTCTGCACCACCGTCCAGGATGGCCGTCCCGCGTTGCGTTGCACAGGGCCCTGGCGACGCTTCCCACTCTCTCAGAGGCTCGGACGCAAGCAGCTGGCTCACAACTAAGATGCGAACAGCGAGTTGAACAGCGAGTCCTCCAGCAGCAGTGTCTGTCACACGAGCGCCGCGTTGCAGCCTGGGAATGCGCTGCAGATAGAGGCAAGTCCGACAACCACTTGCGTCGCGCAAGCCACAGACATCATGGGAGGACCGGCGAGCGCGCGTGCGAAAAGGAAAGGTGTCTCGACCTATCGCTGACAGGCCTCAAATGGCTGGTTCTGACGAGGCGGCGCGGCAATACGGTGGAGGGCGCTGTCGCGCTGTCCGGATGTTTAACCGAAGGGTGCCCCTCGGCAGTTGACTGGACGGCAGCCGCAGACGCCCGTTCAGGGACGCGCGGGTTTGAGTTGGACGAAGGAGTGGGTGATCGGGGCGTCGTGCAGGCTCGCAGCGTGCACGAGAGCAACGTACGCGGACCACCGATTGCAACTGCCAACGTACGGTTAAGGTTCGCGCGCGCGCGGGGACGGTCACGCGGGCGACTGTGCGACCTGGGGGGCAGGCGCGCGGGGGGAGCGCTTGTGCCCTTCCCGCGATGTGTGTCCTGCTGCCACTCTGGGCTCGTCCGCGCGCGACGAGCACTGATTGACTTTTGCGCAGGGCACATCGGACGAAGCAGAGGACCCTTATGACCACGGGCACCGTCCTCATCTCCTGCACACACCGTCCGGCCCTCACGACGCTTCGAGGCGAGGCAGGCGCCCTGCGGGGGCTTCGTGCAGCGTCTATTGCCACGTCTGTCGAGGCCAGCTGGACAGAGGCGAACGTAATGCTATGAGACATCCACGGGCGAAGAACGTCCGTGGCAACACTTATCGCCTGCGCCATGCCGTCACCCGTTCCCGTGCTCGGCGGGGGTAGTGCCAGTCGGGCTCCGTCGTACGCCGCGGGGCTTCCCTGCTGGCGTTTCGTGCGCATTGCACTGGGGACGGCACTCGCTGGGTGGAGCTGGCCCGAGCCGTGGGACGCGCAAGGCACGCAGCATACAGAGGCGGTGCACGGTCTGGCACGGTCGTGCACAGCTGCGCGCGCCTGGGCCGGAGGAAGAGTAGCAGCGATGAAGAGCAGCGAAGCTTCTCGATTGCTCCTCTCGTTCGCACGGAGAGGGAGGCATACGCGAGCGTGTGTGTGTGTGCGTGCGCGTGCGGACGTCTCCCGGACGGAAGAATTCTATAATTATGGCGCAGTGCGAAGCTCCCTCCCCCAATACACACGCACATACTCGTAAGTTGCCATCCCCTTCGCCCGGGCGGCTAGGTCGCGGGGCAACTACACACCTGGTGCACTTATCGCACCGTATCGCAATTCGAAGCCCCATTAAGTCGTGCGTGCAGGCGCCCTGACATGCTGGCATGTGCCGCCCGCGCGGCATGTTCTCCCGCGGGGGATCGTCGCTCGGCGCAAACGGCACGCGCGCTGGGCGGAGTGGGCATGAGCAGCCACTAGCTCGTCGGGCTCGTAAGCGCAAGTTACTTTGCTGCTCCACCGAGCGCGCGCACGCCTGCGAGGCAGAAGCTTCACTCTCTCCCGTGCACCCCGAGCTGCCCTCATAAGAGGGAACAGCGCGCGGGCGGTCATCAGGGCTTTAATGCGTAGCATGGACGTTCTCGACCCGCGAGAAGTCGGCGAAGCGTCGTCAGAGACAGGGTCCCCTCGTTTCCGGCGGCTCAGCGTGGGTGAGATGAGGGCAAAACAGTGGGCATTCGTATAAGTTAGTTAGGTCATCTATGGAAACGAAGCGCTATGAATGGGAAACTGAATGCGAAGACGAGAGAGAGAAAAGTGCAGAGCGATGAGAGACGGACGATCGGCGATCGATAAGGGGCTACTACTTTCACAGGAAGGGCTGACTGAGCAGAGAAGAAGATAAAAGAAACTAGAGAGAGGCATGTTTTCCATACATGATGAGAGGCCCAAGTGAAAAATCAAGATGGATGAAGAAAAAGATACAATGCGACAGATACCCAATGAAAGAATAGAGTGCATAAGACGCATGGGGATCCGATCCGAGCAAGTCCGACGAAAGGAGATAGCGGATGGGGGAGGCATGTCTTGCACGGGCGAATTCACGCCGCGAGGCTGCCCCGGCGGTACATCTGGTGCTCCGGCCGCCAGCTGTTCGAGCTGTGGTGCGGGCCGTTCGCGGAGAGCGCCGAGTACGACGAGTACGGGTACTGCATCTGGCCGTCGTGGTGCTGCTGCTGCTGATGCTGCTGATGCTGGTGCTGCTGGGCCGCGTGCGCGTGCGGCACCGCGGACGAATACGGCGAGGCGACGGCCAGGCCGCCGCCCCCGGCGCCGAGCGCGGGACGTCGTGCAGCCCCGAGCCGTAGTGCGACTGCGACGCCATGCTCGTCGCGCTCGAGAGCGCGGGCAGCGACGGGATCGAGCCGCTCCGGTGCACGAGCCGGTCCGTCTGGATGGGCGCGAGGTGGACGGGCGGCGAAGACGAGCGCGCGTGCGAGGCCGACGGCTGCGAGACGTAGTTCTGCGAGCCGTACGAGGAGTACGAGGACTGCGGGTACGAGCAGTGCGAGTCTGACGAGCCGGGCTGGCCGGCGTGCGAGGGCTCGATCTGGCTCGAGGAGTATACGCCGACCGAGACCGTGTTGCCGTTGTACGACGAGACGCCGCTGGCAGGACCCGGCTGTGGCAGCGCAGACGCGGCGGAAGACATGTTGTTCGCGTATGCCTGCGAATATCCAGAGGCGTACGTTGCGCCTTGTGGGTGCGCCTGCCCCGGGGAGGTAGGCTGCATCTGAGACGTGGTATGCGACAGCGACATACGGGAACGGCCCAGCGCTGCAGAGTGGGGCGTCGCTCGTCAGCTGTGTGTCGCTCAGGGGAATCAGACCGCAACTCACTTGGGGACGACTCGTACTTGCTTGGGTGGAGCCCGGACTGCGATGACGCATGATGCGAACCGTACTGCCCGTACGCATACGGCGTCGTAGGCGAAACTGGTTGGCTCTGCGCACCGTATTGGCTCCCTGAGCTCGAAGCAGGAGACGCGGGTTGTTCGCGCTCGTCGTAGAAGGACGTGTCCACCTTTACCGATCCATATCGCTGGTTATCCGTCTGGCTCCAGTGCGACGGCTGCGGGATGGCTGCGTAACCAAGTTCCGGCGACTGCGAAACCTTGCTCGATGGATGGAGCGCTCCGTTGTTCAGGGCGTACTGCGGGGCCTGCACGAGCTCCGGGGTGGAGCGCGCAGAGGACGAGACACTGTGCGAGGTGTAGGCGGGCTCGAGCGGCGGCGGGGTGTCTGGCGGCTCAGGCACCGACGTGGGCTGGTTGGAGATGTGGGCACCGTCGACGGCAGACGCAAGCGCGAGGGGTGGGGTACAGCTGGAGGAGCGGCTCCGGGACTTGGCGGTGCCGGCAGACGACGGGGTTTGCGAGAGGCGTGCCTGTTTCGACATTGCTGCCCTTGTGGCCGTGCCAGAAGTTCGCCGCGAGCCAGGCGAGAGATGGATACGGTAGCTGGCATCAGGAAATCAGCACGACAGTAATGAGCCAAGACGGTCCTCGCTAAGCTAGCGGCTAGCCGACGTCGTACGACGGGGATCCACACCGCGAGCATGTCAGCAAGCTCACCAGCTCGCTGATTGCGTCGCCGGGGGGCCCGTGCACGGACTCGAGAGGAGAAGAGAGAGGGAAAATCGGGGGAAAATATCGCTACGGGAGAACGCAGCGAAAGCGTGTAAGCGCCTGCACGCGCCTAGCTATCGCAGGCTTCGAAGCAGAAAGGGATGGCACTCACTGTTGCTGGAGATTGTCCTGCCTCGAGCATCGCGTCTCACAGCCGGGGAAAGGGCACTTGTGGTTGCGTTCGCCGGTGTGGACTCGCGTGTGGCGTGCGAGATGGCCGCTGGTGGTGAAGCTGCGGTCGCATTGGCTGCAGACGTAACGGCGGCGAGGAGATGGCGAGGGCTGGGATGGCTGGGTGAACATGGTAGACTCTCGCTTAAGGGAAGGGGAGGAGGTCGAGGTCGACATTGACATGCCAGGGTCGGGTATATGAAGGGTCCGCCTGGGGAGCCGCGGAGTGGTAGGGGAGGAGAAGGCAAGCCCTGGAGTCGCGATTAAATGAAGGAAATAGCGAGATTCGGATGGGAGATCGGTCGGATCCTGCCTATGCGGGAAGTCGAGCCTGTGCCGAGTTTATCTAGCCAGGATTTCTGGGTGTGATTGTGAGGATCTCCAGATTTGGTCTAGGACGAGAAGAGAACCTGCGAAGTTGCTTCCGCGCTGGCTCCGTCCCCTCCCTCTCTCTCTCTCGCACGGTCCACACCGGACAAAGACGGGCGTCTCAAACGGCGCCTCACCCGCGTCTCTCGGACTGATGCGCGGTCGTCGTCCAGGTGCATATCTGCCTATTAGGAAATCCTCGCCTGTCCGCCCGCCTTCGCGGAGGCGCCCAACTGAAATGAAACACGGACCCGGTGGATATCTGACAGCAGGTGGCGCGGTTCGTCCATGTCTCTTCCCCGCCAGAGACGGACTTTCTCGTCCTCCTTGTCGGTGTTACTTTCCTCAATGCTCTCCGGCTTCCATGCTTGGCCTTTATCTTCGCATGGCGGTACAAGGCGACCCGCCACGCCTCCCCCTCGCGTCCTGCCCACCGCCTCCAGTCCTCGCCCATCGCCCCAGACGCCGGCGAGGGGCGCCCTGCGCCCGTCTCAGCCAATGACCGGCCTTTATCGTCGCACGGCTCCTGCCGACCGTTCACACACCAGGCGCGTAGGCGTCATACGGTTCGTGTTGCAATCTCAGATGCCCAACAATTATCGCACACAAACGAACCCGCCTTTGTCCCTCCTGATCATGGGACGCCTCCGTGACGAATTCACCGACGTCCCCCACATCACGTCTCGTCTCGTCCGGCCGAAAATGTGATGCTTCGGCACGGCGCATGCACATCTTTTGGTGCTCCAGCCCGTCGTTACGTTACAGCGAGCCCGCAGGCCGAAACATCCGCCACTAGCCCCATATGTACACACTGCCATCACTGCGCGAACAGCGGCGGGTCCCAGCATCGCGCGCTCCCTTTATTCGGCTCCTCCAGCCCAGCCTCGTCACGACGCGAGGAAAATCTGACAGAGGATATGTAATGGCGCGGCCGGAAATGAGAGCGCAAGGCACGAGCGGCCTGTGCAACGAGGCGAGAGCCTTGACATGCCAGTGAAGCTGCTGCCGGGGAAGGCAACACATAGAGACCACCTCGTGACGCCATTCCAACTCCGCGTACGACAGACGGCCTGCCGAGCCATTGTATAGAATGGTAAATCAGCTAGCCGTTGTCAAAGCATCGCGGATCAGCCCAGCGTGACGTGCCTGAGAACGCCCCAATGGAGCGAAACAGCCTGCGTCGCCGGACAACGGAGAGCACGGGTAGGCTGACGGCATTTTCGCGACACGGCGCAGAGCCCGTCGCAGAGACGGCACCACCGGGGCGCTTCAGGAGTACAACCGGTGACAAAACAATGTGGTGCTGGGTGGATATTGTTTCTGGTATCGCATTGAGTCCAAAAACGAACAACGTTTCGTGGTGCGTCATGCTTACGGAGCGAGACAAGGCCCTGTAATGCAGCTTGGAACGGCTTATCAGACGGAGGTCTTGCACTTCGGAGAGCCCAGACGGCCGAGGCTGTGCCACATCGCTTCGCGAATAGAGGGCTTGTCGGACTCTGTGGAGAGATGTTCTGGTGGCCTTATCCTGGACAGCGGACGTCCGACTGTCATTCTCCCTGGATGTGTGACTGTCGTGCATGGCATAGTCGGGTGCATCTAGATGCTTGCGTGCTAGGTTGATCTGCGGCGGCGAGAAGCCACCGCGTAATGCGTATCGTCATTGAATGACCTGCGGGTGCTATATAGATTCGCGTATCAGCAAGCAATTCACTGACTCAAAGTGCACATACGCCGTACCAGAGCCGGACCCTGGTACCTTTTGAATGGAACAAGGCTCTGGAATAAAGCCCAGGTCTACGACATCTGGTGCAGTCTCTCCGTGAGGGAGAGTACTGGGGTTGCACACAATGAATCATGTAATTTTGAGACAGAAGTCAAATTACGCACCAGCACTAGTGTGAGAGCCTGGATATCGAATCGATGTTCTACGAGGACATCGAGGCGAGAGGAGAAAGCGTTTCCAGAGCGCTGTGGCAAGCCGCCATCACTGATGGGATGGCGTTTGGCGCTCTCGGCAGTCTCCGAGATCCTCGTGCGTTGCCGCAAGTGCGGTTTACCTCTGTCGCCTTGTCGTAGTAGTCCCTACCAAGTTCTCACAGGGCTGTCATGCATAAGCTAATTTGGCACTGGCGCGACGTCGACCTCTACAAATATACTTTGCCACTTTGTATGACTGACAGCACAGCGCGCCGCTGCATGCGAGCTCGCTGACTGTGCTAATCGCACCCGAGGAGATGTGATTCCAACCCGAGACATGCGGAGAGTCGCCGTACAAACCGACACACTGCGCTCTTACAGCTCATGTCTGGAGTTCAGATGTCTGATCATACGTACTTTCAAGAACCTTATCGGCTCTCGCTGTATAATAGGTCATGCCTGAAGGAATGCTCCCATAGGCTGACTGTCGCATCCCAAGGCTCGGGACCCATCATTGGATGGACGCACTATCTTCGAAGCGGAGGCGCCGCCCCTAGGGCGACCCGTCCTCTACATTACACAGACCCGCCTGGCCCGTCCCCCACGGGCATGCTGATTCGCCAGCCGCGTGCGGGGGCCTTCGTCTGCCGCCCTGGCATCATCGATAGACGGACGACCCGAACCGCCCGCCAGTTGCCAACCAATCAGCGCCGCAGTGATGCACGCAGCACAACAACACCCCAGAACTCTCTTCGCATTCGCAGAGGTCCCATGGCATGGCCATTGGCCCACCTAGCGGGGGGCAGACGCCTGCCTCTGTGCGTCCCGCGTACAGCGCCTGTGCGACGCCCGGCCGGCAGCAACAAGCTCACCGCTCGCACGTCCTACTCCTCTATGAGTCGCGGGTGCCTCGTGATCCACACGCAACACACCCCATCAAGGGGGAGGGGGCAGATCAGCAAGAGAGTGCGCTGCTGTACCTGGGCAAGTGTCATACGACTGGCGTGCGTTTTGGCAAGACGCCGCCTGCCAAAGGATCCGCAGCGTGGTTCCTGGGCCAGTCAGAGTAATCGGCTGCCCCGACGACGGTGGGTGGTGACCAATGCGGTATGATTGCACAGATGGCGGCTTGTCCAAGTTGCGCTCCCCGTTTCGGAGGGGGCGCGCGCGCGCGCGCATACACGCAATATTGCCTCCGAAGACTGTCCGACTGATGCCCGCGTGATCCTCACGCTGTTCTGCCGCGGAACGGCTGGGTGGAGCTTCGCTCCTACGTACAGCCCGTTCGTTCGTTGTTCGTGCAGGCCCGGGCCCCTTGCGTTGCATCCCGCTGCTCATGCATGATGCAATTCAGTCAGGGATCCAGCCGGTTCGCGAAGAAGGCCCAGGTGCCTATGCTGCTTTGACAAGTCGTGCGTATCGTAGATCTCTCACGATAGCGATTTTCTGCGAGACAAGGAAAAATGCTCTGGCACGTTGTGGAAGCTTCGTTCGTTGTTTTTGCGCTGAGCATCCGGAGGCACGCACAGTGCGAGACAGGCCGGTGGGCAGGACTTGGGTACGGTCTGCCAAAATAGCTCGCTGAGCGTGTGCCGCCGTCAAACACGGTTCTACGTACGCCATCACGCGAATCCTTTGCAGGGCGCAAACCTTCGACCCCCTCAGGCTGCCATGGTTACCCACGTCGGAACCCGCTCTTCGATCACAGGCAGTGCGCATCTCGTAAGGGTCCCGAGTATCCGCTAGCCGACGCGAGCCACACTGCGCCTCGCAGTGTTTTAGGCTGGTGCGGCGGGGGGAGAAGCACGGTGCGGGCGTGGATCTCGGGATGTCGCCATGTCTGTTCCCACGCTGGCTTTGATGGCCTAGTTTTTCGGACAACGCTGGGACGGAGCTCGGAGCTATCGTGCCGGCCGCCCAAAGCATACCAAGTTACCAGCAGCAAGGCAGGAGCGGCGTCTGCCGTATACAGAGCTGCGAGCTCGGTAAGTTTTCCTTACGTCCTCGAAGATTGCAGGTCTCATTATCCTCCGAGACAAGGTCTCTCCTTATGCTGTGTCCCTATTGCCTACAATCTCCGTCGGCCGACGAGCCTCTCGGAAGCACAGGACGCGAGAGATCAGAGGCACAGAGTAGACGAGGGAACTGTACATCTCAACTGATACATTGCCGTACGGTGCTCGCCACCGACAACACCCGCATATCATGCACATGTTTCTGGAGTGAAGATGCCCCACGCATGTAGGGTGGTCAAGCTCGATTGATAAATCACAGTGCATTGCCCCAGTATCACCCTGCTCAGAGGATGCGCGGCACCGGTGGGTCTGATGGGAACAAAACTTAGCAGAATCGAATCGCCAGAGCTGCATGCGAGGCACAGTGCACTATGAATCGAGACTCCAGCTCTGTTACAGGTCAGGGTTACAGACACACATGCACATCTGCGGCTCCTACCATATGGTGTCTCTACATGCTCGACGGCCTCCCTGCACACCGCGCAAACGTCCCTTCCCGTCGCCACCACACAGGGACCTACAAGTCATTCACGGCTAGTCTCGAGCATCCCCTCATCTGAGAGCGGCGGCGGCCCTGAGTGCGGCGTCGTGCTAACAAGCATGACAGGCCCTGTGCGTGTCGCGCCCACGACGCAACGTACGAACGTGCGCCGCCGGACGAGTGGAAGTGGGGGAGGGCAGCCGCAGAGTGTCGACCGCCGCGCCGGGCGGCGGCACCGAGCACAGGGCTCGCGGGGACGCGTCACGGCGCGGCCGCGCCAGAACACGGGCCAGGCGCGCGTGCCGCCGTGCCGCCGTCCGACGGCGCAGGAGGACGACGAAAGGAGCCGCCTGGGCCACATCACACACACGCCCGTCGCCCGCTCGCCTTCCCCGGGTTCGCCTTTCCCGCACATCGGAGACGGGAGCGTCCTCCCATCACGCACGCTGATTGCATTTCGCCGCTCCCCCCTTTCCCTTACGCACGGGAACAATGATGGGCACCGCCGCCCAGATCCGGGTGCTCGCGATTCAAAGTCAGTTATCAGAAAGCCTCCACACGCCGCGGTCGTCGGGGTGGGGCACACTCGTTAAGGGGGTCGGCGTGCGCGCGCGCGGGGAGCGAGGAGAGCAAGACGTCCGCGCTCGCTGCGGCGCGAACGAGGCCGGGTGGCGCGCGTTGGCTTTTGGCTCGAAATAGGAGTATTTACGCTTTGGCACGCGGCGGCGGGGGGTGGCTGAGATTGCGCGGCGCGAAGCCCGCGCCACGCGCTGACGAACGTGAAGGGGATGGCGGTGCTTCCGTCCGCTTCCACCCTCGCGCGACCCTGAGCGAACTGTCAGATGGAGCTTCTCGGCGGCGCAAGAGTGGCCCAATCCTCTTCTTGCTGGCCTGCACGTCCCCCGGCTGCTTCTCCAGGCGCGAGAATGAGCTGCTGGTGGTGGCACAGGCACTGAATGGGCTCGCTCTACGTAAGGGCGGGATCATTGGGCGGCTTTGGTGGCGCCGTGTATGGACAAGAGATGGAATGTGATTGGCCACGTACCTGCAACTACCCGCTGTCCATTCCTCAGCATCGGTACCGCAACATCGAGCGCATCCTGCTGTGCGCAAGAGTGCCAGCGGTTGGTGCGTCGTTTGCACAGGCTGACAGACGCATGGAAAGTCCATTATTCGTTGAGGCGGAAAGTTAGCGGCCCAAAGTGTTCTTCCAAGTTCTAGCATCCCGCCAACGTACTTCCCTTGTAGGCAGTGACAAATCCACGCCTCCTGTGAGTTGCATCTCGACCTTAATTTACGCTCCAGCGTGCCAGCATCGCAGTTCCGTATCCGGATCGACCCCCCGCTTGCTTCCCGCGCTTTATGAATGCGCGGCTAACCTTGCATCTGAACAAGACGCTTCAGCAACAGTGTGGCACCCTGAGGATCCCAAACGGACCTACGATGCGGGTGCGATCTGCCGGTAACGTCTGGCGTTTTTAAGTGTCAGGGTCTGATAGGACGAGCATAAGAGAAATGAAGACACGGTAGAGTCGGCTCCAGGACGTTCTATTGCTTCAGTACGGTGTGCTGCGACTTGTACGGCACAACGGGCAACTGTGGGAATTCGTCCTCTGCGCAGCCATCTGCCATGGAGCCAGTGCGCCGTACGCGGTGCCATTGTGACGACTATGGGGCGCACGCTTCGGTATGCACAGCCGTATTCCGAGCATCGACGTTCGAAATGCCGTAGTATGAGACAGCGGCAATTGCGCTACAGACGGTGAGTGGGCAGGAGTAACGGTGTGCGCCCCCGGTTTGTGGAGCCATCTCCCGGCAAGTTGCGACCATGAGCGTACTGCGTGCGGCGTTGTTTAGCGGTGAAGACTAATTGCATTTCCTTGAGCGCGACTCCCTTTCAGAGCTGGCTTCTAGCGGGCACTCCGGAATTGTCGGGAGATGGAGGTGAGATGATAGCGACGTGCCACACGGCAGGCTGCTTCTGATTGTCGCCTTCCAAACCAGCCCATACATAATCTTGTGCGTGTCCAAACATCGAAGACAATAGTCCTGGTTAATGCCACACGTCAAGAAGCGAAGCATTTAGTCGGCTGCGGGTGTGTTCAGGTTGACTGACGCTTACAAACCATGCCACATCTCTTGCGACCACCGGAAAGCAAGACTCTTGAGGCAATAATTACTACATGGCGAGTGCTCCGTGACACCTGTAGAATGCAGAGAGTCAACATCTAAACACGTTTATTTGGGGGTTTACACCGGCCGTCCGCCTCACCCCGAGTGTCGATAGTGGCGGGATCAGCTTGCCAAGACGTTTGAGGATTCATCGGCCCAGTACTGTGTAGCAGAGTGTCTCACCATTTCTTCTCCTTTTTCGCATCCCGTCCGCCGTCGCAACCAAGGCTATGTTCGCGCCCCGGCTCGTCTTGCGGCCGACGATGACGAATCTGACCATAGACGTCAGCGAAAATGGAAATACGGTGACGATCAAAACTCCAACGGTGTCTCGAAGCACTCCAGTCTGCAGGTCTAAGATAAGCAATAGTCTCACTGTATGTAATTCCGCCGGAAAAAATTTGCTCGAAGGCCGTCGCCGCCTGAGTAACGGCGCGCTAATCCTCGCTAACAAGTAGACAATTCACCACGACATACGCAGCCGGCGGTAAATCCGAACATTTCTCCGGTAGAGACGGCAGTGCTCACCGTGATTTTCGGTATTGCACCCGAATATTGTGGCCCCGCGCAGGGGCCGTCCGAAAATGCAGGACGTCAGCAAGCGAGATTAAGTCCAACTTCGATACCTTCCTTTCCTGGATAGAGGGGAAGAGTCCGAGCTAAAGTACACGTGGTGCACGTGGACCGCGCGGCGCCTAGACCCCGCCCTTGGCGCGCTTCAGGGCGCACGCGGCTGCTCGCGCGTTGCCTCCTCGGCCCTTGCTTCTCTTCACAACACTTCACTTGTCTCCTCCATGTCGAAGCAACGAGTCGCGTATTATTATGACTGCAAGTGCTAATGCTCATTTATCTTCTCCTGATGCTCATTTTATCGGTCAGCCGATGTCGGCGCGTACACTTACGGTCTTGGGCATCCCATGAAACCCCAGAGGATGAGGATAACACACGAGCTGGTTTCGGCGTACGGAATGCTGGACAGGATGCATGTCCTGGTACGTTGTAAGTTTTTAGCCCGGCATAAAGCTGAACTCGCGTGACTAGAGAGCAAAACGAGCTACCGCCGAAGAAATGACCCGATTTCACACCGACGAATATGTGCACTTCCTTTCAAGAGTATCACCAGAGACGACGGAGGATCTCACATACCATGGAACTCGCTGTAAGCACTGTCTACGGGCTATCATGCGCATGCATGCTGAGAATGCGGTACAAAGTCCTGGTGGGCGACGATAATCCGGCGTGGGAGGGCCTGTTCGAGTTCTGTTCGTTGTCTGCTGGGGGTTCGATAGGTGCGTAATCTAACTGTCGGCTTCTGTCATGGTTATTGACGTGGAATAGAGGCTGCAACGCGTCTCACGTCCGGTGCAGTCGATATCGCAATCAACTGGGCCGGCGGCCTACATCACGCGAAGAAACGCGAAGCGTCTGGCTTCTGCTACGTCAACGACATCGTCCTCGGCATCCTTGAACTTCTCCGATCACACCCAAGAGTACTCTACATTGACATCGACTGTCACCACGGCGACGGCGTCGAAGAGGCATTCTACACCACGGACCGCGTCATGACTTGCTCGTTCCACAAGTTCGGCGAATACTTTCCCGGTACCGGCACCCAAGAAGACCGAGGTCGCAACAAGGGCAAGGGATACGCAATTAATATCCCGTTGAAGGACGGCATCACCGATGAAGCCTACAAGAGCGTCTTCGAGCCCATCGTCACCAAGATCAATGAGGTCTACCGGCCGTCCGCGATCGTACTCCAGTGCGGCGCGGACTCGCTCGCGGGCGACAAACTCGGGTGTTTTAACATCACAATGCAAGGGCATGCTAACTGCGTGCAGTTTGTGCGCAAGCTTGGGATCCCGTTCATGTTGCTCGGCGGTGGTGGCTATACAGTGAAGAATGTTGCGCGGACGTGGGCGTTCGAGACGGCGTGCGCGCTCGGGATCGAGGACAGCATCGACCCGAACATGCCGTGGAACGAGTACTTTGAATGGTTCGGACCGCGGTATCGGCTCGAGGTCGTGAAGAACAACATGGAGGACTTGAACACCAAGGACGGATCGCTGGATCGGGTGCGGTGAGTGCGAGTGCGAGAGCTATGTGCCGGATGCGATCCTTAACGGAGCGCACGCAGGGAGACCGCACTAAAGCATCTTTCCGAGCTACGGCCGGCGCCATCAGTCGGGCTGCAAGACGTTCCCCGCGAGAGCGTCGGGGAACACCTGGGATTCTCGTCGCAAGAACCGTCCAAGACAGACGAGCTGGACGAGCGGCTAGCGCGTACGTAAAGGGGATCGTCGGAACCCGCGGACCCACGCACTGACACTCTTCTTCGGGCAGAACACATGCGGTTCGTGCACCAGCTACAGGAGCCTCCGACGTCAGACTCGTCGGACTCGCCCGAGTCAGATTCGGACGACTCGTCATCGAGCAAGCGTGTCAACCGGTCGGCGCGGCGTGTCCGTGCCGAGAAGCAGCGCATGAGCATCGTCACAAATCGGCTGTTGGACGTGTCCCGGTTCGGCGAGGACGGGCTCGACGAGTTTGGCTGCGGCTGGCACCCGGCGGAGCTGAACGGCGGGTCCAGGTCGGCGACCACCAAGCGACGGTTTTTCCAGAGCGCGGCACACTGGGACGACAGGATGCAGCGGGTGCTGGTGTCGAACGAGGGGCTGGCGATGCCGCGGGTGAGCGTCACGGAGATGATGGAGCTGGGCGGGCGGAATGGCGAGCACGATGGGTCGGAGCCCGACGAGGAGATGGATATCGACGAAGAGGAGGGTGAGAGCTGATCGCCTTCGTCGTCTTCTACTCGTTCTGACGAAGTTCGTGTATTTTGTATTCAATGTATGCTATTTGAATTCGCAATAGGCTAATCGCCCGCAATATTTGCGCGACGCGTGTGTCACGTGCCCCCGCTCTCCTGTCACGTGGGCCCGACGTTATCTTTGGACGCTCCCTTATCGCATCTGTTCCCGGGAGAGAGCAGCCTCGACTTTGGCCAGCCGCAATGAGGACAGCCAGAAAATTTTCCAGGCAAGCTATCAAGCCGCCACCACCAGAGATAACATCGCTGGGTCACGCGCAGGAGCAACCATACCTATCTAGTATTTATCAAATTTCTAATAAGCAACGAAGGCAATCCATGACCCCATTCATCGGCTCCGTCTTTGCCTTCGACCACCGACTGCCTATTCCCGGGGGTACCTTCGCACCCCGCCTTCGACCCCAACGCAGATCGCTCGGTCGGAGCCATGTCTGACCACCACTCCATCACCAAGGAGCAGCCCGGTCGTGTGCCATCTCCATCGCTGCACGAAGCGGGTCGCACGAGTGCGGTGCGAGCGCGGCTTGACCGCCTCGCGCACAAGATCACCACCAAGGAAGGCTGGCTCGGCGATTACGACTACGCGTGGCTCTGCACGCCGACGCTGCCGTGCGCGTTCGGCCGGAAGAAGCGGAAAACGACGCCGCCGTTCTACGCGCTGGACTCGGACCTCCCCCTCGTGCTTGCGCTCGCGTGCGGCCTGCAGCATGCGCTCGCGATGCTCGCGGGGCTCATCACGCCGCCGATCATCTTTGCGAGCACGCTGAACCTGGATGCGGAGACGTCGGCGTACATGATCTCGGCGTCGCTCATCGGGTGTGGTGAGTCTATTGAGTGCTCGCTGTTCTTTCGGCCGCTTATCGCAGTTGGCGTAGGAATTCTCAGTCTGGTGCAAATGTCGAGGTTGCATCTGTTCAAGAACTATTACCTCGGCACCGGGCTGATTTCCGTGGTGGGCACGAGCTTTGCGACGCTGAGTACGGCGGACGCGGTACGCACACTACGTCTTCATTGTCCGCCTACCGTCTAACTGTTAAACAGATATTTAATGCTATGTACGCGAACGGAACATGCCCCTCGACCACCGCCGCAGATGGTACCGTCACGCGCGGTCCATGTCCAGACGCCTACGGCATGGTGTTAGGAACGTCAATAATCTGCTCCTTCCTCGAAATATTCATGTCCTTCGTTCCGCCTCGTATCCTGCAGAAAGTCTTTCCGCCAATGGTGACCGGCACGGTCATCCTCATGATTGGTGCATCGCTCATCGGCTCGTCGGGCATCCCGGACTGGGGCGGCGGCTCGAACGACTGCATGAGCAGGCCCACGTCGGGCTTCTACGCGCTCTGCCCAGACATCTCTGCGCCGCGCCCTCTCCCGTGGGGCTCGCCTGAGTTCATCGGGCTCGGCTTCCTATCGTTCGTGTCGATTATCCTCACCGAGCTCTTCGGCTCGCCGTTCCTCAAGAACGCATCCATCATCGTCGGCCTTGCGGTAGGCTGCATCGTCGCCGGCGCGGCGGGCTACATCGACGGGAGCACGATTTCGAGCGCGCCAGCAGTTACATTTCTGTGGGTGCACCGGTTCAAGCTGCGCGTGTACCCGCCGGCGATCCTGCCGATGCTGGCCGTGTACATGTCAGTCGCGATGGAGGCGATCGGCGACATCACCGCGTCTGCCGAGGTGTCGCGTGTGGCCGTCGACGGCGAAGAGTTCGACACGCGGATCCAGGGCGGGGTGCTCAGTGACGGCATCGGCGGGTTCCTCTCCGCGCTGTTCACCGTCACACCGCTGTCGATCTTCGCACAGAACAACGGCGTTATTGCGATCACGCGCTGTGCGAACCGCACCGCGGGGCGTTTCTGCTGCATGTTCCTCATCTTGTTTGGCGTCCTAGGCAAGATTTCGGGTGTCTTCCTCGCAAGTGCGTTCCAATCCATTTGCCCTCCCAATATCGGCTGACCGCGCACTGCAGTACCAAACCCCGTGCTCGGCGGCGTGACGACGTTTCTATTTGCGTCAGTCGCAGTGTCGGGCATTCGTGTGCTCTCATATTGCCGCTTCACGCGCCGGGATCGCTTCGTGCTCGCGGCCGCTCTGTCGTTCGGCATCGGCGACCTGCTTGTGCCGAGCATCTTTACTCACTTGTTCGACGGCGTGAGCCATCCGAACAAGGGCCTACAGGGTTTCTTCGACTCGATTACGATCGTGCTCAGTACACCGTGTAAGTACTCTGTATTTCCCGGATGTGAAGCACTCTTACTGATTAACATCTCCCAGTCCTCGTCGCAGGTATCGTCGCTGCTGTTCTGAACCAGGTGCTGCCACAGGAGGACGAAGACGATGGCGGCGATGAACCCAGTGTTGAAGTCATTGACGTCGAGGGGCATCATGTTCAGCTTGAAAAAGAAAAACACGAGGAATGATTTCTAACCTTTCTTTAGGCTGTATATTACATTACTTTCGACACGTAAACACGTTGGCGGCTTGTAGCGTTCTCCAACGGAAGGTGCGGCAATAGTATACCGTGTTGCTGTCGTATCATTCCTTACATCTTAAAGCTTATCTGAGTAACTATTTGCGAAACGCGCAAATTGTAAAGGGGTAAGTAATACTTGTTAATGACTATTAGCCATGACAGCAAAAGTCTAATTCCTAAGGCCGCTCGCGCAGAACAAAGTAGCCTGGCATCAGCGCCGAGTCGTCGCTATCTGGCATGATCATTATGCCTGGTGAATTCATAATAACAATAATGCACATAGCCTCGGTAGATCTACATTTTATAAAGTTCTAAATAAGACAACATCATAGCTGAAGATGTGTTTCCGCCAACATTACTTTCTCACGAACAAGGCCCGGACGGTGCTGATAGGATTGGAGATCGATTTCTGTTTTACGCGACTGGTGCAGGTATCGGTATTGATCGAGTGCGACGTCTACGTAAGCACAGCTTATGACAAGAATTTGAGCATTTTCGGCGCTGCACGAGTCTTGACTCTTGAGGTATTTCTTTGAGCAAGCTTTCCGATGTATGGAATTGTGTAGACGCCTGTCGTATAAGTTATGGTGCTGCACCCACAGCAGAAACGTGTCAGTCTGACGAGAAAGGCCTCGATTGTTCATGGAATAAAGTAGAATGAGACAGGTCACAGTGGCGATACAGATATATGATAGCTCGTTCGCTAGAGGCTCAGCACATGGCAAGGCATATCATCTGAGAGTTTTCTTTCTTAAGAGATCCAGAGCAACACAGATGACAGCCGATGAATATTTGGCAATAAATTCGTGCCAGTGGTAGGTCATTTGTCCAGGTCTGCAAGGTTAGACCGTGACAGAATCTGGCTGTTGTATCAAGACCAGAGCAAACCTCACAGCCTGCGGCATCAGGAAAAAGAGTCCGAGACCAGAAGCGCCCCGTGAGCTCCGTAGTTCCAGCAGCCCGGTGGAACTGACCCCTATTACCCTGCAACCAGTAGTCTCCCGCCATGTCTCCGTAGCACCCGTGGCAGCCTGCATAAGTTTGGCAACACACCGTGGCAGCCTGCAAACATTCAGCAGCACACCGTGGCGCTGTCGCAGCCTGCCTGTAGATACCAGCAGACGGCGTCCCGGGCTTTGCACACTCACTCACAGGGAATAGATTGACAGAAGAAATATATTAGGCACACAACTGTACAGTACATGTTGGTGTATACTACACTAGAGTCATTCTGCTGTGGTAGGGGATAGACACAAGAGGTAAATCTATAATGTATAGAGTCAGAATAGTACTATATGATCTGCGGGGGCATCACTCATCTAAGTCTTAAAACCGCTATGCATCCAGCGCAGGAAACAGCGCAGGACATGCGGCTGGTAATCTCGGATGCGCAACCCGTTAACCGCCCTTCTTGCGATACCCGTGCAGCAGCGACGGGCTCGCTATGAGGCACGTCGCGGGCGGCTCACAATATGCCCCGCGTAGCTGCAGGCGCTCGTGGTTGTGCTTGTGCTGGAGATTTCGAGGGTGCGTTCGAGCGCAACGTGCACCCGGTGCTTGCGTGAAAGCTAGACAGGACCACTGCGGAGGTGTGTAAGTGTAAGAACATGGCATACCCCGAAATGCACGACATGGGGTGGAGGTGTATGGCAGTGGGGAGGTGGATTTGCGGTATCTTTCAATTGCCTGATGCGAGCCCAACT